TATATATATATATATATATATATACAAATTAACCCAAAAAGTTGTAAGCGATTGCATGATCTTAAGAAAACACAAAAACTAAAAAAAATGAAAACTTAAAAAAATTAAACGTTTCCTTATATCTTCTCCATCTTAACCTCTAAGATAGAGGCAATTGCATCGACGCATTAATTTACTTGAATTTCTACATACCTCGGAAGTTATACCATGGTAGACTAACAGGAGAATTTAATATTTTCCTGACTGATTTTTATTTCAGGGTTCCTGGTGCATATTTTATTTCACATTTGCAGTGCAAACAGTACGTCTGAAAATCATCACTACACAAAAAATAAGTAATTACAAGCAGCCGGGAGTGTTAATTTGTTATACAATATAAAACAATTGAAATTTTATTCATTTTGGTTGATATACACATAACGTCATTTTTTATTTTTTCAATAGTATGGCAATCCTTAATAGGAACGTCATCGTTGTAGTGTATTTCAATATACGGCATATACAATTCGATTGCAAAATTTTTGCTAGACGACAGTAATTTTTATTATAATTTTGGAATGGTGTTACAATTGCTAGAAAGAAGACAAACGTTTGTATTTTTTCCAGTTGCACATATATTTGCTTCAGTAGCCAAAAGATTTATCTGTCAATCCTATCTCCGAATCGCAACACGCGCTCATCATACCAATTCCCCCATGGATAAAGTATATTTCCGTAATGATTCTCATAGTGAGGAGCTCCATATAAATTTCCGTTATGTTAATGCTGATTTAAAATTGGATCGTGAGTTTAATTTTTGTCGCCGAATGAGTGAAAAAGTTGAAGATGCTTTAACGCGAATACGAGGGAATATTGAAAAAGAAATCTTTAAGAAGGCAAAGAAGACCAAGAATAAAAGTCTACCTCAAGAGTCAGAACTTTCACCGAAACCGTTAGTAGACGGTAAGGTAAGTAGTAATTATCGTAATTGTTTACAGTTGATTTTTTGAAAAATTTGTACAGATTGAATTGCTTCGTGGTGAACACAAATTGGCTGACATAACTTTCATCGACATACTGGGTGATACTACGGACAGCCTAAATCTAAGAATTTTAGATCGCAACTTTCAGGTTGTGATAAATCAACCGTGGGTAGTAAATTTAGTTATGCCTACTATTATATTAGCAGGATTTACGGTCTACCCTAGTAAATTAGAAATGCAGTTCGCTGAGAGAAGTTATTGTAAAGGTTCTTGGTTTAAGGCGAAAATGGCAAGTAATTACCTTCCGCAATATTAAACTTTATATTAGATATTTCTATTTTAGCCAGCTTCTGGCAACTTGAAACAAGTGAAAAAGTGGTTACATTGTGGCGATGGACTTTCATATAATACCTGTAACGAAGACGTGGGTTATTTCTTAAAGTTAGTATTGATACCTGGCAACAGTCAAGGCCAGTTTGGCCCCCTCGTAGAGCAAATATCTAAGGGAGAAGTACAGGTTGGTCCCGGACGTTGCCCTTTCGAAACGCGGCATTGTTTTACAAAGCAGCGTTTAGGAGGCGATAGTTTGCGTATAGTTTCTTATAATGTTTTAGCAGATTTGTATGCAGACAGTGATTATTCGCGCACTCATCTTTTCCCTTACTGCCCAGCATATGCTTTAAAAGCGGATTATCGCAAGCAGTTAATTTTGAAGGAAATCATGGGTTATAATGCTGACATAATTTGCCTGCAGGAAGTTGATGTAAAATTTTTCAATTTTGACTTGCAACCTATACTAGAAGATGATGAACAAGCTTTCAAAGGTTTATTGGCCCAGAAAGGCACTTGTGGCGAGGGAGTTGCGACATTCTACAACGCTAAACGTTTCGATTTGTTTGAGACGCGAAATTTCAACATCGGTGAAAATATTAAAGTTTTAACCGTCTTCCGGGGTTTGTGGCAAAAAATACAAACAAATGAGAAATTAGCAGAGCGTATATGTGATCGTTCAACGACATTGCAATTAACTTTATTAAAAATGAAAGAATGTCAATACTATTTATTGGTAGCTAATACACATCTGTATTTTCATCCTGATGCAGATCATATACGTCTTTTGCAAATCGGTCTCTCTATGCTTTACATTGAAGATATGTATAGAAAATTGATAATTCAATTGAATTTAAACGATGAAAATCAGTTAGCTATAGTATTTTCCGGTGATTTTAATAGCGTTCCCGAGTGTGGTATTTTCCGTTTAATGACTGAAGGATTTGTAGAGGATGACTTCATTGACTGGCGCAGTAGTAAATAACAAAAAAAATTGTCAGATTTTTTGATAAATTATTGTATTAAACCTTTCCCATTTTCAGACCCAGAAGAAGCTTTAACTGGTGTATTTTTGAAACAACCATTTCGCATGCAATCTGCTTGTGGTACCCCACAATATACAAACTTTACTCATGCTTTTGCCGCTTGTTTGGATTACATATTTTATCAAAGCGACCGTTTGAGCGTAGAACAGATTGTCCCTTTGCCTGGTCTTGAAGAATTAAAATCTCACAAGGCCATACCGTCTGTGGTTTTTCCCTCCGATCACGTAGCTTTGGTGGCTGATTTGAGATTTAAATTAATGTCGCAAAATGCCAAGTAAAAGAATAATTTCATAGTTTTGCAATAATTGTATTTATTTCACACAAAAAACTTATTCGCAAAATATCATTTGCAATGGTTTTTATGCTATAGCTTAGGGTAAAATATCTCTTTTTAACATTTTACTTTCGATACCACATCTGCAAAGTCTTCATACGCTTCACTTTCTTTTGGAGTTGAAGGACACCATACATTAAAGCCTCCGCGGTAGGTGGACAACCAGGTACGTATATATCCACTGGGATAATACGATCACAGCCACGTACTACCGAATATGAATAATGGTAGTAGCCACCACCGTTGGCACAACTGCCCATTGAAATTACCCACCGGGGTTCGGGCATTTGATCGTATACTTTCCGTAAAGCGGGTGCCATTTTATTGGTCAATGTACCTGCTACAATTATAACATCAGCTTGACGAGGAGACGCACGGAATACAACACCGTAGCGATCCATATCGTACCGGGGAGCAGCAATATGCATCATTTCTACGGCACAACAAGCTAAACCAAAAGTTAGAGGCCAAATAGAAGATTTTCTGCCCCAATTAAGTAAATCATCCAAACGTGCCATTGTCCATTCACCCATGCTAGATTGCTTGGTCCCGAAAGGGCTGTAACCTTTTTTGGGCAAAGGAGTTTTGGGATCTACCACTGGCATAGTTTGCTGCTTACGCAGCATTACAGTGTTTAGGCCAGGACCGAAAGCACCGCCCGTCACTGGGAGTAGCCCAGAAGCTAGCAGCTTAGATGTTTGGTTCGCGAGCGACGTTGCGAAGCAAAGCATTTCGTTTCTATTTGAGTGTTTAACGTATCTTACAATTATTACGTGATTTAAACTCGAAAGCAATAATAACAAATTTCACCCTTAATTTTATACCAATATTTGGAAAATAAGAACAATTGTACTAACCTTTTTATGTAACTAAGCTCCAATCACACAAACAATGGAAGTGTCAAACAAACATATGTTCGGTAAATATATTTAGTAGTCTGGTAACGCTCGCTCTTTATATTCGTTTACATATTTCTGGCACAATTATAAATATAAAATTAAGTGAACGTAAAACTGAAGAGATAAGGATTTACGAAATGACGAAACTTTAGCTCCTAGTTAAGTTGCTAGAAAATATATAACATTTTCGTATTTTTCCATCAATTTTATAGACCCATATATGGAATTAGTCTTCCGCTTGATGTAATCGAAAAAAAAAATTACCGCTTAATCTATTGGAATAATTTAACACAAGCTTTTTTTGCATGTTTATATAAATTCATTATTATTATTTTGTTGTTAAGTATATCATCAGCATTTGAATTTATATATTTATATGCATAAATAGAAAGTATTTGTTCTTTTTGCTAAACTTTTTAATGATTAAAAGAACATGAAAATTTAATAAAGATAAATAATAATAAACTTTTTTCAAAACCTTAGTAAAACTTCGTTAAATGCCCCTTAACATTATGATTTCTTTCGTATATAATCTTGTACATCCGCTAAAACAATACTAATTACCCGTTTTGTGTTTGCATTTTTCAACTTTCCTAGGCAATTGCATTACATGAATGCATTTTTACGAAAAGTGGAAAGCAAACTTAATCCTTCAAAACTATCCAACTTTAAATTATAAAGGTAATTTACAAATTTGTAAATAATTCAAGCATGACAATTTTAGGTAAAACAAAAATTTCAAAAAAGTTTTTATGGGCGTGCACAAACCATATGTAGATGATTATAATATAAGAGAGAGAAATAGTGCTAATGTGGTACTTTTTTGTTTGTGATTGAGAATCTTGTATTTTAATGTAGAGATTTATTTGACCTCTTCGGCTGTAGAGGTGGTGGTGGGACGTTTTCGTATGCCCTCATCATCGCTGCTGCCAGATGTAAGATTTTCATTAGTAATAATATTGGGAGTCGACTCTAACGCGGTGTCATTAGGTTTGATGTCTTTGTCAGTATCCTCCTCTTCGTCTTCATAGTTAGTTGGTTGTTCACCTTTACGTAATAATTTACCAACCAAATCGTATTTTTCTATATGTAGTAGCAATTGCCACATATAATATAAAAATTTCTTATGCATTTGTTAAAACGGCCATACCTCTGAATTGCATTTCCCATTCGCGTAATGAGTCCATTTCCACTCCGCTTAGATCACTGAGATCATCATATTCGTCTTTATCTTTATCGTTGGCGCCCACACTAAATCTCGCCAAATTTCGTGAAGCATCACGACCCGCGAAAGAAGCATAGGGGCCACCTGGATATTAAGAAAGGGTTTTTTTTATTTTCTTCTGTTGAAGTACTGCAAGAAAATGCTTAACTTATATGCATTGCAAATTTATGTATTTAAAAAAATTTTAAATTGTGAGATTGTTGCTGTAAATTTTACGAATTGTCTTAAAATTCTCATTTCTTTTCTATCTTTAATCTACATGAAGCATGCATATCTGTTCGCGCCGAAAATATATTATATTCTAAGCGGAACCTACTAAGAAGACGTAAGCAGTGATTGTCTCTACTACTTTAATTGTTTCTAAAGCATTTTCATAGTTCAAGCAATATTTAATTCTACATTTAACATATTTGGAAAAGGTTGAACAGTCAGATTCTTGAATACAGGCAGATATGAAACGGTTTTAGGTATGGTGACGTTTCGTTATAATGGTAACACAATCTGCAGATCGAACTGGAAACTCGGCGTTTGACCAAGTGGAAGAAAAAACGTGTAAAATTGTTTTTGATGATACATACGTGCAAGTATAAAATTTGATTATCAAACTTAGTTACTTGAATAATTTAAATGAGGAATAGCTTAAAAGTTCAATAGAATGGGAAGTGCAATTGTATTAAGGTTTTCTTGGAAGAATTTATAGTTAATGATTATATATGCATTATGTGTAACAACATTTGTTTTGCTAATTAGAATTTTCTCACAAACTGATATTGAAGACACATGTGTAGCTTTTGCAGAATCTAAAAATAGCAAGAAGTCTCAGAAACAGCTATCGAACAGGATAGAAACAGAAGTTGAAGTGTTTTTTTTTATTGTGAACACACACACACACACACACAAATAAGCAACTTTGCCTGTATACGTGTTCTTTTTATTTTCTACGGTTGAGAAATTTTGTGACGGACTTATATACAACATGTTACACGGAAACATAACATTATCATCGCGTCGTGTTTTTGTCAATATATTAATGTAAATAAAATACTTTTTGGCCAGCAATGACCTACACTCGCTGGTAAAAATGGAAATTCATTCACCTGGTCCGTAGAAACGCTTCCCTTTGGTGACGTCAAACACATTACCGTTAACAGCCATTAATACGCGGCCGTCAGGCTGTGTGCCATCGTACTGATGAAGTTCAGCTACCGTAAAATCTCTGCGCATTTTTGGTAATTCTGGCTCAGGTGGTTTTTGAGAGGCCATACTGGGCACTTCAATTCGATCTTTGATGATTTTATATACCAAAAAAGCAATAATAGCCACCAAAGCCAAATTCATTGGACTATAAATGATTTCATGGACAATAGCCGAAAACATGGATGTTTCCCCAGACATTTTGTAATTTTTTAAATATTTTCCTTCAAATTACTTTAGATTGCTTTACACACTTTCTTTTATTTTATTCTTAGTAGCTTATGCCTTTGCAATGTTAAATATTTTAAGAACGTTTATGAATTTCAATACTGAATCGCTTAGCCTTTCGAACTTTGATCTTTTTTCTTTCTATTCATACACTCTTTCTTTTTTTGGTTCGTGTTGCGGTCTAAGTTACCGGTTTACTTTGTTTTATAAGATTTCGATTTTCTTATTTTAATTTCTATTTGCGATTTGTTCTCGATTTTCTTCTTTTGCGTTTTGTTATGTTACACGCTCACAAACTAAACGGACAATTATATACAAAATATTATATGAACTATACAATAAGACAATTTCTCTGATATTAGTTTAAACGCAACTTTTCTACTGCTGCTTTACTAGAGTTGATAATGAAACGATAACGACTTGACTGAAAGAATGTTGGTTATGAGATTATTCTTCATCAAACGTCCAATGGCAAATTATAGGAATATTTTGCCTAAATTTGAGATAAAATAAAGCCAATGTAATATTTCTTCTCTTTGCTTAATAAATTGATTTATATTATGCCTTGTACTTTTTTACAAAATAAATATTATTTGTACAAAAGTTTTTTATGAAAATGAAACATATCAGAAACGGAACAACTTGCCCACTGCGTAAGAAATTTTTAATTATGCAAATAATCCTCAATAAACAATTTCTCGTTAAATTTGTGTCGAGTAATATTAGTATGGACACAGCTGGTGAAATCAATTTGTTATGTTCATTTGTCTATTGAAATTATTGCCCGTTTTTTTAGGAGACAGTTAATTATCGCCAAGGGGTTAATTAGGTGCCATCGTCGCCAGCATTTTAATACTTTGCAACTCTTCTCAAATTTTCCTTTTCAGCGCGTTAATAACTGAGAGAAATGTAAAATATGAGAGCCAAATTGACGTATGTATATTTAAATGTTTAGGCTTTTTATTGCAGAAAAAGTTAATTATTACGTATTCTTTTTTACAAACGTTCCATAAAAATTAATGTTAACAGTTCTTTATAAAAAGTTTTTAGGGATTACTTAACATAAATGGTGTCTTCTTCATCATTATTTTAAATTTGCTCTTTCATTCCGGTATGACAAATCTTTTTTTTCTTTTATGCTCACATATGAACAAATGAAAAGAAGGTCCAGTGTATAAAAAATTTTTCTTCCGAGCCAGACACATGTTTGCTATTCTTCCCTGCTTCTTTGAGCTGTAGCAGCTCTTCCGCTCTTCTTGTCGAATAGGAATAAAAGGAAATTACGACATATTGTACACAATGATCAACATAGCTTAATTTAGCTTGATACTTAAAAAAAAATTGTACTTAATTTTACAAACATTTTTTCTTCTTCATAATTCACAAATGCAATTTCGGACACTCTTTTTTTTCCAATTTTTAAAAATTTTTGAATTAATAATTCATTGCCTAATAGCTGTTTATATCTTTCGTCTGTAGCTTTTTTTTTACAAACACAAGTCTAAAAGACAGACTTGTGGTAATTTTCCTTGGTTTACATTTAACACTAATGCGAATTTGTTCTCCGCGACATGTTTATTATCGCCAGATTTGACATAAGTCAGAGAGCGCACTTGGCGGTAATCACCAGCAAATTTGTTAACATGACTTGGCGATTGTTGCGTACCTCATTGTCGTCTGCTTACATGACAGTCTGGTTGCGTTGAGACGAATATAATTTTTCTATTTTATTCTCTTTTATTTATTGTTTTCTTATTTTTATTGCTTAACCATATATCTTACCACATCCCTGAAAATTTTCTTTAAATATTAGACAAATAAATGCATAGTTTACACATGAATTATTATATATTTATTAATTTTTTTTCTTTACTTCTCTTTATATACGTTATGTTAGTTTTTAACAGTAATTAGTATAAGATCTGTTAAGAGTCAGTTGAATTCGGTGGTTGATTTATTTTACTTGTGTTTTATGTGTAAGTAAATAAAATAAATAAACAAACAGTTAATTGTAAGCTGTCTCTTAAATACTTAAGGGGAGTTGGCAAGATGAGAAATTAATGAAAAATTTTTCGTAAAATGGGGGATAAATACATATACAATTATATAGCGGTTTAACGCAATGACGCCCCATTCCTATGTTCGGGATGAGACTTCAATTACATCGACTTTTTACGAGGGTTTATAAGAATTGGCAAATCATATGGGTTTCCATGCTTACATGCAAATAAACCAAAAAGAAGTCAACATTTAAGAATGAATAATGGCAGTTTATTTCACATTTAGAAATTATTTATCTAATTTGTGTTTATTCTGTACTAATTTAATAATTTTTTATGTGATACGATTTAAAATTTTATTCTATACTCAATGTTATTTTATAAGGAATGGAAAACAAGCAATAAAGGCGATTAATGCCCAATTTCATATACATTTGTCAAATTAAAACTGAAGCAATTCTTTTGTTTTTCTGCGTCAGTGAAGTCCCTTTCTATGACTTTTTTTTCAAAGTCATTTTTCTTCATTCGAAATTCGACTGTAAATGAAAATAGATGTTTAAAATTAAAAATCTCTTATAGGTAGAAGGGAAATAAATACATTTTAAAATAAAAAAAAACTTGTAAGTGAAACAGGTAGGAAAATTATATCCTCGTCTTTATTTGAAAAGAAAATCACAAAAAAATATTGATAGACTGATCTTTTTTTTCTTTAGTTCAGAGCTCATCGAAAGCATTGCACATAAATTAAAAAAACTTATTCCGAAGCGATTGTCTTTGAACAGTTATCATGGCGCGTATGTTCTATGAGTAGCCTATTTTTACAAATGCTTCATTGAGAGATCATTCCTATTATACGTATTTAATAATCTTTATATTCATCACCGAAGCATGAAGTGTGTATTTTTTGTATCAAAAAGTTTGTAACGCCCAGAAGGAAGCCCACAAGGTATATGTATTCTTGATAAGCATCAAATTCTGAATCAAATTAAACATATCCGCATGTTCTTCTGGCCGTCAATGTAATGTCTCTTATAAACATTCTCCTGGCCGCAAAAATGAGGCTATCGAGTTCAGGCAGGAGCATCGGAAGTTCTTGCACGCAGGTTGGTATTCGAAATAGGCGAAAGCGGTCAAAGGATACGCCTACAGTACTACGCAAAGTGAGGAAACCTCTGTTTTTCGAAAGCAATAATAAATTGGTTTGTTGCTCACTACACATAAACTAAAGTCGATAAATGTACAAAAATTTGAACGTGTATTCTGTAGGCGGTACTATAGTACTTGTACAAAAATGAAAAAAATTGACTGCACCTATTTAATGTTATAGTATATCAAAGTTTACTTATTTTTTTCTATATATTTATAACGGGTAAAAGCAAGCTTCAGAATCCCAATAAAGTATATAAATTCTTGACACAAGCATGTCCAACTGTCCATCTGTTCGTCTGTCCAACTGCATAGTTTGTGGTAAATATTCTCCCGTTCACAAAAATGAAGATATCGCTTCCAAATTTGCAAAAGAACTTAGAAGTGATATAAACTTTTTAAAGGACACATCTACAACATCCTCACCTCAATGCGACAAAAACTTTCATTTTAAAAGTAGAACAAATGAGTTGCACTTATTCCTTATTATAATGCATGAAAATTTAGTCTTCTTTTTTTTTGTTTTTTTTTTTGAATAATTATGACGGGTATAAAAGATTCGGCCATGACCGAATATAACTGCCTCACTTAATTTTGTTAACTTTACTTATAATGTGTTAAAGAGAAGAATCACTGTAATTTTTTGTATCTACTTTTGCTATAATTATTGGTAAATTAATATTTGTAAAACATCCCTAAAATACCAAGAAAATTAAAGGAGAAAAGGGATCTTAGAACTCTGTTCATAACGATTACTTCGTTTCACAATGAAAGGTTTCAATATTAAGAACTCCCAATGTTTCTGCCAAATTTGAGCTTGAAACCTTTATTTTGGTATCAGTTTGACTACATTTTGTAAATATAAAATTTAGCGCAAAAAGTTATCAAAACGATCTCCAAATGTAATGGTCTTGAGTGGCTAGCAAATATTGCGCTTACAAGGTAATAAAACCCTTTGCTACTTTGATATATTAATTTTACAATATTTGCCCCAAAGACAATGCACGGCTGTGTTCTGAGCAACATTTTGAGTTGTCGCAGCGACGTCACAACTCATAAGGCATTTTTTTATTTGCGGTTTGTGTGATCTAATACTAATGCTTGCTTCATAACAAAACTGATATTGAAATGTTTTGGTGTGATGACTCGTTCTGAAAATCAAAATTGATTCAAAGTTGAAAAAAAAGATACCAATAAAACACGTTGTTTTCTTTTATGATTGTGTGAGTGGTTATAATGCCGAATACATGTTAAAAAAAGTAACTTTAATCTTTTTAAAAATATTTATTTATTCATCAATATTTATTTTGTGTCCTTCAAAGTAATCCGCTAAGATATAATCTATATTGTGCCAGCACTTTTTCCATACATCGAAGCATTTCTAATATCGCCTTGAGCTCTTCTGGTGATGCGGTCTTTATCTCTTTAATCGTCTTCGTCTTTTCATGGGCCTTTTTAGTTTTGGGAAGATAAAAAAGTCAGGGGGCAAGTTCGGTGAATACGGTGGCTGAGATATGACTACGGCGTTGTTTTTGGCCGAGAAGTTACAAACCGCCAGTGTCTTTTGATCTGCCGCATTATCGTCCAACTCATTTCATACCCAAAACATCCGAAAAAATTGATATCATGAGTTAAGCTACATGCCAACATCCTCAGCAACCACTTGTATGTACATAATTATGTAATATATAGTTACTATATTGGGTAATTTGAAAACAAATTGAATTTTTTTTTGGCCTAAACAGAAGTCGATGTCATTGTAGTGTATATATATTTTGTCGAGAACAGTAGGGTTTAACACATTTAAAGTTTTGGTGATCTCATGAATTTTCATTTGAGGTTTACTTCAACTAATGCCTTTATTTTTTCTTTATCGGTTTAGCCAGTTTTGGCATTGACGTTCTGACCATTTATCGACTTCATACGCATGCAATAGTTTTTTTTTCGCTAGCAATAGAAGCAAAGTACGCTGAAAATCTTGCTTTCGATTTTCCATATTTGGTAAGACATCAAACGAAAACTTTTGCGAAAAAATCAAACAAAATTTTTCCTACACAAGCGTTACGATGTCAGTTCTCAAATGGGAAGAACGTGCGCCTTAAATGTGAACGTGTGTGGGAAAAATTGCAATTAAATCTGTGGTTGGAAAAAAAATGAAATGTCTTTCTGAGCAACCTAATAGTACACAATTGACAAAATTTTTACTTTGAGTTACTCTACAATTTT